CTTATCTGCGTTACTCGATATTCACGCGCCGCTCGCGTTGTTTTTTCATGTGTACTTTCGTCGTCTTCACTACTGGAAAACGAGTCATCGGCATCTTTGGATACCTTGATTGCCTTAGCGGCTGTATGAACCTGCGGCTTCTTTCGGTTCTCAAATTTTCTAGGTTGCGTGTGCGTCATCCCAGTGCGCTTTTGCAACGACCAACATTCTTGTCGTAAATGCCCTGGTTTTTTGCAATGTATGCAATATTTTTCTACGGCATTTACTCCGGCCGGTTTGTAATCCGGTTTCGGCAAGGTGAAACGCTGGCCATATCTATTAGTGCGGCATTCATCTCCGGAATGCCCTTGCCTTCCGCATTTTGTACACTGCGGTTTATCATCGCGAAATTTGAATTTTTTCTTTTCATAAACCCTATTGAGGCCTTGCGCATCGGCCATGGCCTTTTCTTCCGCGCTAGCTCCGTCTATTGCTTCTGCTAGGGTACGGAAACGTTGTGAGCGCACCAGTACCTGAATGTCTTCCCTTAATCCAATTTGGAAGTTTTGTAAGGCTAGCGTCTGTGTATGTTCGTAAATGACATGTTGTTGCTCGAGAGTGTGGTTTTTTCCTTCTTCCATGCTCTCGAAGAGGTCTATGGCGAGGTCTTCCACTCTGCGTCCGAAATCCTTCGCGCTTTCTCCCGGCTTTTGCTTAATTAAGTTAAATTCTCTTTGCAAATTGGTAATGCTTCGCTGGCACAAATACTTGGTTTCCATTTCGCTCTTGAATTGAACGAAATTGCGAATGCTGCGCGTGCGGAAGTCTTTGCGTGCTTTTCCCTTTAATTTTGTACAAATTAGGGCTTCCAAAAATGAATTTTCGTCCGTCGGATGAATGTTTTTCATCGCGTAGGAAGCGGCTTCCAAAAATTCATGCACGCGATCCCGCGAGCTACCGTCGATCTCTGGCACTAGCTTTCGCGCCTCAATCAGGCTCATGAAATTATGAGTTCGTCCCGGTTGGTTACGGATATCGTCCTGCGATCTCGAAATATTCAGCGCGGAACTACTGTGATCTCGCACCGAATAGTTACGAGTGTCATCTAGAGGCCTTGATGTATCTAATGCGAAGCTATGGTCATATGTTTCGCGGCGTCGATCGCGGTGCCCTTCGCGTTGGTTCATCATGAGCTCATTCATTTGAGTTCTCATTTCACGCATTTCTCGCATCATTACTGCCATTGGGTCGGGACTATTACTCCGATGCCCATGTGAATTGACAATGTCGTCGCAATCGTTT